CCTACATTTTCAGGCCGGTCCCTCAAATATAAACCCAACAACATGTTTTTTCTTTTCAAGTCAAGGTATCAAAAGTGGGGAAACCGCAACAATTTCCCGTTGAAGTTGAAACACCCATTTGTATACATCCCATTTGTATCCCGTATCTAAATCATTCCATTTATACTGTAATGGGATATATAAATCGCCATTTACAGTATAATCTGGGGAAAGTTGACTGGTTTACGATGGCCATTAGCCATGTATATATCCATGTAATATATAAATCCATGTAATTATACCGCCGGGGGAGTATAATCCTTGTTCATACATGTAAATGGGAGTCTCGGGAAATTTGGAGAACATCTGGTAAATGTTGGAATGGTTTGCGGGTATAAAGCAAGGCATCTTGTTGGATATAGGTGGAATATAGATGGACGAAAATGGGATAATGACTGTGTAGAAAATTACTTTACTTCGAGTTATCCCCACCATGACATTTATACATTTTGTTACTGGCAAATCTTCTGGCATTCTATCTGACATACCTTCTGGCATTTTATCTGGCATATCTTCTGGCATTCTATCTGGCATATCTTCTGGCATTCTAGCTGGCATATCTTCTGCAATCTGTTCTGGCATATCTTCTGGCACTCTATCTGGCATATCTTCTGGCATATCTTCTGACATCCTATCTGGCATTCTATCTGGCAAATCTTCTGGCATTCTATCTGGCAAACATTCTGGCACTTTATCTGGCATACCTACTGGCATTCTATCTGACATTCTATCTGGCATACCTTCTGGCATTCTATCTGGCATATCTTTTGGCATTCTATCTGGCAAACATTCTGGCACTTTATCTGGCATATCTTCTGGCATTTTTTCTGACATTCTATCTGGCGTTCTATCTGGCATATGTTTTGGCATTCTATCTGGCTGTTGAGGTCCAGCGGTGCTCACTGAGCTCGGAGGGTCCCAGGTTGAGGTCCAGCGGTGCTCACTGAGCTCGGACGGTCCCAGGTTGAGGTCCAGCGGTGCTCACTGAGCTCGGAAGGTCCCAGGTTGAGGTCCAGCGGTGCCCAGTGCGCTCAGACCCTTGCAGTTGAGGTCCAGCAATGCCCACTGCGTGCGGAAGTTGGCGAAGAGCTTGGCGAAGAGTTGGCAAGGCGGAAGTGAACATGGGAGTGGATGCAAAGGCGGTGGAGGAGAAGCTGGAGGAGAGGGAGGAGGAGGAGAAGAAGAAGGAGGTGGAGGATGAGGAGGAGGAGGCGGAGGAGGAGAACAACTGTGATAAAATCTAACAACCCTCACCTGGCAGGTGGGGAAACATAATCTACATTTTCGGGCCGGTCCCTCAAATATAAACCCAACAAAATGTTTTTTCTTTTCAAGTCAAGGTATCAAAAACAGTGGGTTCGTTAGCCAAAAATGTAACTGACACTTTCCCTCTGCGGTGGGGAAACCGCAACAATTTCCCGTTGAAGTTGAAACACGTATGCACATTGCCATGTGCCGTATAGATGCCCATTCTAGGCAAGAGCAGCTTCCCTCTGCCAAGGCAAAGGGTATTGAAATTCTGGTAAAGATCACTACGTTACTTCTTCATCATCTACTTCAAGGGTTGTGTCAGTTCCCAAGTCAGGAATGAGACCCTCCAAAAAACCAAATCACTACACAATCGGTCCAACTGGGCTTGAGCTGCTCTCTTTTTCGACATGACGTGCGGTCAGAACTTGAGCTGCAAATCTTCACAGGAAAGGGGTCCATCACCATAAACAATATCAATTTCACCATTGTCATTCCCATCATAATACTCAATAATCATAATAATGAACGAACCATAATAACCATCACCATAATAATCACTATGCCCATCAAAATTATCCTTCTTAACCATCACCATAATCATCAACTATACATTGTGCCAAGTGCTAATGATAAAAATGACGCAAGCACATAATGAGATTGACAAAAACAGAAACAACAAGTATCATACTAACTAGACACTACATAAAACTGATAATGATAGGCACCATCATTTTCATCATCAGTTTCATCATCAACATGATTAGTGCAAATAATACTAATTATATTTATATGTTTTTCAAATGTAATAATATTAAAACAACATCAATAATAATCATCATTCATAACAGTAACTATGAACATATCACGCATAATATCAATAATAATGACATCATAATAATTATCATCATCATCATCATCACCACATTCATCATCACCACATTCATCATCACCATCATCATCAACATCATCCTCACCCTCATCATCACCCATCATCACCATCACAATCACCATCATCATCATCATCATCATCATCATCATCAGCAGCATCATCACCACCACCATCATCATCATGATCCCTTGCTATTTGGTACTGCTTCACACATGGCCAGGTGGCTTGGCATCCACTGCTGGACAGGTGGCGATTCGCCTGGGAGCTGCTGTCATCGGTGGCGATTCGCCTGGGAATGTGCGTTGTAAATTGGGACATCAAATGATACAATTTTGTATGATAAACCCAATAGTCATGGTCATCACCACTAAATATACATATATATATATATGATAATGGTTAATGGTTGACAGTCACTGGATAGAATGTTGTAAACCCAATATGATAAATTATCCCCAATACCACCATAAATGGGTGGAATTCCGTCCATCCCCAAATGCTAGGTTTATGGCATTGGGTTTACCAGATGAGATGTTTTTCAAAACAAAAAATCGGGGGGGATTTTTTTTGGCATATTTTTCTTTTGCTTTTTTTCCCCACCTGCCAGGTGAGGGTTGTTAGATTTTATGTCAGTTGCTTCCTCCTCGTCCTCCTCCTCCTCGTCCTCGTCCTCCTCCTCCTCCTGCTCAACCGCGACCCTCGACGCACAGTGGTCTCTGTCGGACCTCAACCACGACCATCCACGCCCAGTGTTCCCTGCCGGACCTCAACCACGACCATCACCGCCAGTGTTCCCTGCCGGACCTCAACCACGGGTATCCCCGCCCAGTGTTCCCTGCCGGACCTCAACCACGACCATCCACGCCCAGTGTTCCCTGCCGGACCTCAACCGCGAGTATCCCCGCCCAGTGTTCCCTGCCGGACCTCAACCACGACCATCCACGCCCAGTGTTCCCTGCCGGACCTCAACCACGACCATCCAGTGTTCCCTGCCGGCACGCGACGGACCTCAACCGCGTATCCACGCCAAAAGATATGCCAGATAGAATGTTAGAAGATATGCCAGATAGAATGTTAGAAGATATGCCAGATAGAATGCCAGAAGGTATGCCAGATAGAATGCCAGATAGAATGTCAGCTAGAATGCCAGAAGATATGCCAGATAAAGTGCCAGAATGTTTGCCAGATAGAATGCCAGCAGATTTGCCAGATAAAGTGCCAGAATGTTTGCCAGATAGAATGCCAGCAGATTTGCCAGATAATATGCCAGAAGATATGCTAGATAGAATGCCAGATGGAATGCCAGAAGATTTGCCAGATAATATGCCAGAAGATATGCCAGATAGAATGCCAGATGGAATGCCAGAAGATATGCCAGAACATATGCCAGCAGATATGCCAGAAGATATGGCAGAACATCTGCCAGAAGATATGCCAGAACATCTGCCAGAAGATATGCCAGGTAGAATGCCAGAAGATATGCCAGATAGAATGCCAGATAAAATGCCAGAAAATATGTCAGATAGAATGCCAGAAGATTTGCCAGTAACAACATGTATAAATGTCATGGTGGGGATCACACGAAGTAAAGTATTTTTTTGGCTTCTGGCTTCTGGCTTTTGGCTTCTGGCTTTTGGCTTTTGGCTTCTGGCTACTTCGGTTTCTGGCTTCTGGCTTGTATTTGCTGCATTTTGTAACTTGATGTACATGTAGATAAAAGAAAGCAAAGTAACAAGATCCATATACGCAACAATTATTGCAAAGATAGAACGGTAGATAGAGGAATAACTGCGATAGAAATAGGCGTCGCCTGTCTTCAAAACAACAGCAACAACAACAGCAGCAACAGCAAACAGCAACAGTAACAAATGACACCATCAAAATCGATCCAAACAATGGAGAAAAACAACGCCGGGGTGCAAGTCGCATAGGACGCATTGCGGGGGGAGGCGCTGCGCCCTTCCCCCGCGCCCCCCACCCGCTTTTTTTATATTAATCCGACCCTCCCCTTGCTGGGAAGTCGACGACGACAACCACAACCACAACAACCACAACCACAGCCACAACCAGCACCACAACCGCCACAACCGCAACAATTATTAACAGATAGATAGATCGATAGACAGAGGAATAACTGCGATAGAAATAGAACAGCAACAACAACAACAACAACAAAAAGATCAACAAGAACAAATTAACAAGACCCATATACTCAACAATTATTGAAAAGAGCCCTCCTCCCACGAATGAACAACGCTAGAAAAGCAACGACAAATATAGAAAAACATAGAAAAAACAATGCAAGAGCGAAGAAAAACAAGAAAAAACATCGAAAAACTGAGGGAAACGCTAGAAAATTTTTGAAAACTATGGAAAACTGATGGAACGCGCTAGAAAATCATAGAGAGGAAAAACGCTGGAAAACTAGCGGAAACAATTGGAAAATTGATGAAAACTGCTGGAAAACAATGAAAAAGCAAGGAACCCAACCCCGAACCAACAAAAAAAACATGCAAAAAAAAACAGAAATGCCAACTTAATTCCGCGCCCAAATCGGGGTTGCAACCATTTTCCATGAAAAATTTCACATCAACCAGTTGGGTGTTCATCAGCCAGCAGAGGGAAATCGTTGTCACATGGCCCTAAATTTCGAGAAGTGATTATGCAGTTAGATCACTTCGACGTTATGGTGATGACACATGATGCTCCTCAATGATCATAGAATTCCCATAGAATGATCATCAAAACGTTATTTTGCATAATGGTCGATCACCAAAACTCGGGCCACGACATGTTGGCACTCAAAATGGGCAGCTGCAAGATGGAGCCCTCGTTCATCTTGAGGGATGTTGTGATCTTGGCCGCCTGCGGATCGTTGGCCTTGAAGGATTTGGTTGCCAGAGTCAAAGTTAAAACTACTGTATATGTATGTATATATATGATGTATATGTGAAGTATATATGATGCATGTATGATGTATGTATGATGAATGTATGATGTATATATGATGTATATGTTGCATATATTTATATATATGTTGATATATATATATACTATGCTAAATATACAATGTATATTCGATGTTTATTATTATCATATATATATATACAATATGTATGTAATGTAATGTAATGTAATGGTATGGTATGGTATGATATGATATGATATGTATGTATGTATGCTTGATGTGTATATATATATTATGATGTATTTTCTGTATGTGTATATATATATATATATATGTAATGTGTATATATATTATATGATGTATATGTATATATATATATATATGATGTATGTGTATATATATATATACATATAGATATAAGTTTACATATATATATATACATTTACATACATGTATAATCATGTATATATATATAGTTACATATATATATATACATACACAAAGGATACCATATTGAAACAGTTCAACTAATTAGTTCAACCAAAAGGTATAAAATGATGCCTTTTGTCGTTTCCCCACTCTTTGCAAGACATATGCATCAGACTTGCATGGTCGTGTTGGTACTAAGACAGCGAATTCAAGGCTGAAGAGAAGTATGGGGTGTTGCCAAAGACGCACCCACCATACTGGATGGAGCATCCTGATTTGCCGAGGACTGGCATGTGACCATTGATGATACTATGTTTTTCTCCACATTTACATTTCCTGTCGCAATATCGTGGTGTGTGTGTGTGCCTGTATGTAGACAATTGTGGATGTGCAATAGGGTTTTGATATATATATATATATATACATACACATACGTATGTCTATAAGGATATCTTTCGAATCCATCCATTCATGGACATGTCATTTGAAGACCATAGCAATCTAATCATGGTGTCCAAATTACATTTTTTTAAACTCATTAGCCATTTTCTGGTAAAAATCCATGTGTTGAAAGAACAACAGAATACATTTGTTTGACCAGTGTTAGTCAAATCTCTAAAACGACACGCAGAGGGAAAACAAAATCAAAACAAATTGAAACACCTTTTTTGCGAGAGCACCCAAGTTTTTGCCATGCCATGTAGGTTCATACCACTAAGCATTCATCGAAGTTGTTGCAACACCTGTCATCATTCCCTATCATTCCCGCATGACAGCGGATGATGAATGCCTCTATTCGTTGGCCCATGTCTTTCCCATATGGGTTTATCTGAAAATTGGTTTCCCAAAGACCTTAGGATTTATAGCAATTGTAATTAATTTGCCCTCTTCGAATGGACACAACTTGGGGTTTCGAACAGTTGGACACCTGGAAATATGGGAAACATAACATCGAACTAGCATCCTGGGTGCATTATTCGACATCTTTTTGGAATTATTTTAAATGATCCTAATCCCAATTATTATAAATGATAGGATATTTTCATTTAATACCAATATTATAAATAATCTAATGGATTACTAATGATCTTCCCATTAGATCCCATTGAATTCCCATAGAGTTGATCCACTTAAATCTTCGGCAGGCTCAGCGGTCCAGATAAAGATGGCCGAGACATCGGCGACTTGGCCTTTTTTCAAATGGGGTATAAAATTTACGATGTCCATATATAATCATATATATATATACATATATAAATATACATATACATATATATATATATACATACATATATATATATGGTTACGTATGTATACATCCCATTTATATCCCATATCTATATACATTCCATTTATAATGTAATGGAATATATAAATGGCCATTTACAGTATAATCTGGGGAAAGCTGAATGGTTTACGATGGCCATTAGCCATGTATATATCCATGTAATATATAAATCCATTTAATTATAGTCCTTGTTCATACATGTAAATGGGAGTCTCGGGAAATTTGGAGAACATCTGGGAAATGTTGGAATGGTTTGCGGGTATAAAGCAAGGCATCTTGTTGGATATAAGTGGAATATAGATGGATATATAATGGGATAATTACTGTATAGAAAATAACTGACACTGAAACTGGAGTAATTATCTATCCATACATCGATATACCCTCCAAACAGCCGTTTTAATGCGGAGAATTATGATGAAGAGTCAAATTTAGGGAAAAACAATTTTCAGATAAACCCTTAATGAATCAACAGAAAACAACTCTCTCTTGGGGTCCTGTTCTTGTTGGGAAACCTATGTTTTCATATGATTTTCTATTGATGTTTCCGCATGTGTCTTCCGTGTAAACCTAGCGCCTTTGTTGCTGGTTGAAGCCACCCAGCCAGAGGGCGGGACCCCGTTTCCATTCGACGCCAAAATTGAATGCAAACGTATCAATAGTCAGTAAATAATATGTATGTATTTGTATGTAATAGTCAATGTTCATGTGGATTAGTGGCATTTGAATTTGAATTATGTTTTTAATGGGATTACTGTTAAAAACGTTTGTTTTTCTGTGGCAATTTATTATTTCAACGGGATTTTACGTTTCTACCTTTTTGGGTGCTGCTATAACTATACACTAAAACATTGATTCAACATGACCCTTTCCAACTCAAACAGGGTGCTGATTTTGCTGAAACCACGGATGTGTGTGAGTTTGGCACGTCTGCCTTTGTGACTTAGGGTATCTTCGCAAAATGACGATGCCGGACTCGGGGGATGTTGGGTATGGTCAATCCTCAAGGATCTTTGGCAACTCGCAAATGGATAGAAAAGATGGAAAGCCGGAAATGGATTGTTTATTTCATGGACAATCCCAATCTAAAATGGATGATAACTAGGGGTACCCATTTTAGGAAACCCTCAAAATGAGTTTGGAAAAACATCATCCTTTCATTGTTGGTGATTGATTGTTGTATGATTCTAAATGGGGTTGCCTCAGGGCCCCACAATCCAAAAATATACTGATGTTTGTAGGGAGATCTTCATCAACAGCCTGTCTGAGATGAGCAAGTGTCAATCACTCTTGTTGGTTCATTGTTCTTTCTTTTTGCGATACCTGGGTAAACGTATACCAATGGCCATTTCATTAACCTGGAAATTGAAGTCCCTACTATATATAGATATATATAGAATACGTATGTGTGTATATATATATATATAGATATATAAGGCCTATGTATGCCCATGTAAGGGCAAAATTTCAGGGGATTTACTACCAAAATATGGCTGTATATGTTACTAACGTACCTTCATTTTAAGGGTCCTGAAATTCCCCATTGAGTATATCCGGGTCGACCTTGGTGGGGCCCCCAATTTTTGAAAAAAAATCGCTGTTTGTTGGTGGGTTGATAACTTCAATTTCACTATGCGGTTTATGGAATGTTTATGGTACTTATCACTTATCCTGCACTTATCACGATAGTTCATGGGTTTTGTTCACCCGCACTTTTCCTGGGGCTCCACATTGAGAAGTGTTGACCCAGCTAAAGCACATCATCCTTGCAGGGATCCATCTAAGATCATCTGATTGGCGGAACCAGGACCTCTTGAGATTCGTGAAGATTCTCGCCGCTGGGCTGGGGTTTGGATCGTTTCTCGGGGTTGTGATGGGTTGTGTCCCTTTCTTGATGGGTGTTTGGGGTGTTTGGGGTGTTTGGACATGGGGGGACCCTCAAGTTCAGAGACTCAGCAGGATACTTAGCGTTGTTTTTTTTGGTTGTTCCATTGGGGAAACGGTCATCCCATGTCATCCACTGGTCAATCATCCTTGTCCCTATCTCCTCAGGCATAGAGCCATAGATTGGAGGGCCCATTTGAAGACACGTGCAAATACCATGGTGTTGGTTGGCAGTTGGCAGTTGCTATGTGTTGGTTACACAATATATATGTATTACCATCATATCCCGATATCCCATGAACTACCCAGCAACACCTTGGGAAATCAACTCTCCGTTTGCGAGGCCAGCGATGCTCAAGTGACGCAATCCAGCTTTTGGGAGAAAGTCACTGAGGTGCGGCGCGGTTTTCTTTCGGTGGAACTCATTCAATTTTTCAGATACAGATGGATACATTCACTGGTTGGTGGTTTGGAACATTTTTTATTTTCCCATATATTGAGAATAATAATCCCAACTGACTAATATTTTTTTCAGAACGGCCCCTCATGGGGGAGTGATTTTTGCTCTAAAAATAGTCAAAAATACTGGTATTTACAGTGTTTTGTGACCAAAGTGGGCTTAAAACCGTTATTTTAGAGCAAAAAATAGAGTTCACCTCCAAAGGCTCTCATATGCTGTCATAAATCACTGGCATTTACAGACTCTTGTGGCAGGATTCAATTTTTCCTGTGAGGCTTGCAAAGAACTACAAACAATCAGCACATAACAGAAAACATCTGCTGCACAACATGCCATAAGAATGGGTAGCTGCACATCTTGGAACAGAATATACAGTAGCAATAGGTGACTAGTGTGATGGAGGTGATGGAGAAATTCTATTGCTAAAGGCAATTGATATGATATAGGTGTTTCTTCATGAACTTGTTAGATTGATATCATCTTAACATATATTGTATATAGAAGCATTTGCGCTACATAAGAAGTATGGTGGGAAGGGCATACATTATATAGGTGGATATAACACAAGCACATCTAACCCTCTGGATAAGAAGGATGGTGGGAATGTTACAACTCAAGAAGTAGGTCTAGAATCACCAAAACCTGCACAGGCATCAAAAAAAAAACAAACCAATAGATGCACCAAACCTGCACAAGCATCAAAAACAAATAAACAAACCACTAGATGCACCAAACCTGCACAAGCACCAAAAAACCCAAAAAAAACTAAAATTTCCAGGAACTATGGGTCCACTTCTGAGTAGTTGCTGGAATTTTTGTTTTTTTTGGTTTTTTGGTGCCTGTCGATGTTTGGTGCATCTAGTGGTTTGTTTTTTTTGGTTTTCTTGGTGCCAGTCAATGTTTTGTGAAGTCAGAGTCACCAAACCTGCACAGGCACCAAAAAAACCAAAAAAACCAAACCACTAGATGCACCAAACATCGACAGGCACCAAAAAACCCAAAAAAACTAAAATTTCCAGGAACTATGGGTCCACTTCTGAGTAGTTGCTGGAATTTTTGTTTTTTTTTGTTTTTTTGGTGCCTGTCGATGTTTGGTGCATCTAGTGGTTTGTTTTTTTTTGTTTTTTTTGGTGCCTGTCAATGTTTTGTGAAGTCAGAGTCACCAAACCTGCACAGGCACCAAAAAAAACAAAAAAACCAGACCACTAGATGCACCAAACCTGCACAGGCACCAAAAAAAACAAAAAAACTAAAATTTCCAGGAACTATGGGTCCACTTCTGAGTAGTTGCTGGAATTTTTGTTTTTTTTGGTGCCTGTCGATGTTTGGTGCATCCAGTGGTTTGTTTTTTTTGGTTTTTTTGGTGCCTGTCAATGTTTTGTGAAGTCAGAGTCACCAAACCTGCACAGGCACCAAAAAAACCAAAAAACACAAACCACTAGATGCACAAAACCTGCACAGGCACCAAAAAAAACAAAAAAACTAAAATTTCCAGGAACTATGGGTCCACTTCTGAGTAGTTGCTGGATTTTTTGTTTTTTTTGTTTTTTTTGGTGCCTGTCGATGTTTGGTGCATCTAGTGGTTTGTTTTTTTTGTTTTTTTTTTGGTGCCTGTCAATGTTTTTGTATATCTCATGTCAAGATCATGATGAAAAAAATGTGTTTTACTAGGGTTTTAGACCCTCCAAATGCATAAAACATCGGTATTTACAGTGTTTTATCATCATTTTTAATGAAAATTCACTCCCCCACGGGGTGCCGCCCTCTATTTTTTTAGAGGGGTTGAAACCACCAACCAGATTCATGTGTGTTTTCTTTAGGATGTTAGTTGTGATTGTTGTGTTCACGCATATCAGTGGATTCACTTCATCTCTTCACTTTTTGCTCATGGTTCTACGTTAAAGCTATGTACATACTACGTATATATATATATATATATATATATAGATAGATGGTTGTATCATGATCCCTTATTCAGTCATATTGGTGACATCCAGAGACCCAGAGACTGTTTTCAAAGCCACATGATGCCACATGTTTACAGTTTGATTAATTATATATTCACTGTACTTCACAAATTTACCCATCTGAAACGCAATGTGTGGGGGGGGTGCCAATTTTCAGGCACAGCGCAGAAATGCACTTTGGGTGATGATGGGGATCTACAACCAGCCGTTTTATGGGGTATAATGATAGATAATGGAATATGTAAGAAACAATGAACAACATATGATATGAATTCGCCTGAACATGTGGTATACAGTACCCGCAAGTTCTGGTTGGTTTACTATATCAATAGTTTGCTACTCTCATATACTCTCATAGTTGAGAATAATGCCTCAGACATAGCCCGCCCCAATCAATAAGAGAGATGATAGTTCTGGTGGTCACTGGCAACCTGGGTACAAGTAATAGTTTCATTACTACTTTGATGATTTTGCCCTAAAAGTTGGTTTATAACCCTCTTCAGCTGTAGATTTATCATGTTTTACTGGTTGGTGGTTTGGAACATGAATTTGTCATTTTCCCATTCAGTTGGGAAATTCATCATCCCAACTGTTACTCACTCCATCATTTTTCAGAGGGGTAGGTCAACCACCAACTATGGAAAATCCCCATTTTTCATGATAAATCCACTATTTCTATGGCCATTTTTCAGAGGGGTATATAGGTCAACCACCACAACATATTAAATAACTATTATTTATCACTGTTAAATCACTATTAAATCACTATTAAATCAGTTTATCTACTCAAAACATCTTCAGAACTCCATGAGAACCTCCATCCAGGCCACTCGCAGCACGTATAGCCACACGGGTCTCGACGGTTTGGAGGAGCGCAGCGAGAAAACCGATGATTAGCTTCGTTAGAAGGTGAAGCCATGTGAAGCCCAACCAGTGATGGCTATGCTGGTTGAAAAAACCCTCTGAAAACTATATTTATTAGATGATCTAGACAATGTCACAAACCACCCATGACTGGGAATGTTTTTTTTCTTGGTACCTTTGGGGGATGGTGTTTTTTCTTGTTTTACTTACATTAATATCACAAATCATACCCATATGCTCCATGCATGGTATATTTACCTACAAAACTGGGCCATTTATGGGGTAAATGGTGGTAAATATTCCATACATGGAGCATATGGGATAGTGAATTTGGAGTAACCGACTTAGCTGCCGGGCCCCACATTGTACGGACAATCTATGTCCTCTATGAACTTAAACCTAGTTTAGTCAGATCTAGAAGCCTTGAAGTTTTGTGGCAGAAAGCCATCATTAATGACGGCTGCAGAGAATAGCATCAAAGCTCTTGCAGAAGCATCAGTGCATCAGCTTTGAAGCTCTCAGGGCGGGCATCGCCGCTGATGGCATCGATCCCATGATTTTCTTTGGGTTTCAACCATCCTTGCGGTGATGCAGGATTTCGCTGGCCCATCCACAGTATTAATGGGCAGTTGAACTATCCACACATAATGAGTTTGGAACCAACCACATGGAGTTAATTTTTCCGTAGGAGTTTGACCATGAAATTCAGAAGCTGTTTGACAATGGGAGACGGACCATCAAAAGGAATTGACAAAAAATTAGCGAGGTGGGAAAAAACAATTTATAATATGTGTATATATATATAAGTGTATGTGTATATATATATATATATGTGTAGCCCCTCCCACGAGCCACCGAACGGAAGATCTTGTATTGCTGCAGACTCCTCGGTGAGATCCTCCGGTCATCATCAAACGTGGCTGGAAAAAATCCCAGTTTGTAGATGATGTTCCGATGAAAACCTCCGTTGAGTTCGATTCATTTTCCAGCCAGCCATGTTTGATTACACCGGATAATTAATCCCATTATTATAGATCAGTATCCCATTATCAACCATTAACCAGATTAACTATTCACAATTATTAACATTTATTAACCACTATTAACCATTATCAACCATTATCAACCATTATTAACCATTGTTAGCCATTATTTTCACCAGATTTCAGATCACAGGTGCCAATTGAATGTGTCTATCATGGCATCTACCATGGGAACAAAATCCACTTGAGACCGTACCTGGAAGGTTCATGGGTTCATGTTAGGAGACCGTACCAGGAATATCATGCAGTTCCACGTTGGATTTCGGGGGTGTACATCTATATAATTGACAGGCATGTGTATGCTTGGAAAAAAATACTATACCACATTCATCAAATATACAGTTGCATGTGGAGGTTCCCTAAAAATGGTGGTACCCCCAAATCATTCATTTGAATAGATTTTTCATTTCAAGCCATCCATTTTGGGGTACCCCCAATTTAGGACCTCCCCCCTATATAGTCATGTGTATATATATATATTATACATGGATAGATGATAACGACCCAACTCCGCGATGTCGCTGTAATGATTGTTGGTATGGGTAACTATTCTAAAAATAGAATCATTTCAGGTTGGTTTGTGAATTTTTCTTATAACTCATCCATGAATATGACTTACAGTTATGAGTTGTTTAGACTTACAGTTATAATATGACTTACAGTTACTTATATTATATTCATATTATACAACCATATTTAGACTTACAGGATGGGGCCCCCAAGATAGCTAAGTTGGTTTATAAGTGGTTTAACATTGGTTTATGGTAGATATAACTATAGTTAATGCAGGTTATATTGGTTTATAAACCAACTTATAACTGTGGGGGCCCATCCTGTACAGTTGTCAAACAATTCTTATGGTTTCGTACGCACAAATTTTTCACCAAATCCCAACATCCAGCCATCAGCGAGGATAACTTGGAGCTGGCCCGGCTGTACACGAAAATCGGCGCCTGGCACCGCGACGTCTTTGAGGCGTCGATTTTGGGCTTCGTCGTGCGGGGGTGGGGTGATTTGCGTTCGGCCAGAGAGTGATATGTATTGTGTGTTTTTTTTTGGGGGGGGATGGGGGGAAAGAATGTTTTCCAGTCTATAGCTTCTTTGGCTTTTGGCTTTCTCGCTTGGCTTTTGTCTTCCAGTTTCTGTCGTTTTTTGTTGGCTCGGTTCTTGGTTTCACCTGATTTTTGTGGCTCTTCACTTCGTGTCATGGGCATTTGGCTTGACGTTTGTTGTCTCGTGACAACATGCTGTAACGGTTGTGCAGAGCAAGGGAGATCTTATGTAGAAGATAGTAGATTTAGAAGATAAACACAGGAGCATTTTTTGGGGGGTTTGTCAATTGTTTTTCTATTGATATCATCCAATGAACCTATTTACCCTCTGCTAAACTAACATAACTATGGAAAATCACCATCTTTAATGGGCAAATCCACTATTTCAATGGCCATTTTCAATAGCTATGTTTATTTGCCAGAGGGTACACCCAACACAGTTCTGTCGTTCAGCCAGACGATTCCTGGTTCATGTTGGATTTGAGCCGCCGTGATATCCCAGCGTCCCAGCGAGTTGTGTATCTGTAACAATATCATTGTTTGGTCAATATCACCCCCGTTTTCTAGGTCAATCTTACATGGATACTTTAATCCTTTAGTCTTTTGGTATCAATGAGAATTTGTCATTTTTTGCAGGGTATCTAAGATTGGCAATGTCAATATCACCCCCGTTTTTGTTGGCGAAGTCTCAAATTATATCCCCGCTTTCAGAAGCTACAGGTGACTATGTGAGGTGATTGCCACTTTTTCAGAACCCGCCTGCCCTTGCAGGCTGTCTTTGAGAACAATGAGCTCCCAGGGGAAGGCTTGACCGCCATGGAGGGCCTATGGCATCAAAATTTCAACATTACAAATTGCACGGGTTATTGTTACCAGTATTCGTGCCAGTCTCAATATGTGTTATTTTTGCTGTAGTTGCTCTATTGTTGCGTTCATCACTATTTGGACAGTCATTGAAACTTTGATAGATGCTGATCGAACTACCTCCCATTTGCCCGATATCAACAAGTTCCCAGCACAGTTTAATATCCAATTATTATTCTGCTTGTTGATTGATGGTTAATTTTGTTAGAACCAAGTGCCATAACCTGTGATTGGTGGTTCACACACAAGTGATTCTAAAATCTCAGTTTGTTCCATTAAAGAGAAAATCCCAAGTTGTGTAAGGTCTAGTCAGATTTTGTGTTGCTTGCAACATCAGATCGTAAGCTGTTGACCTTGACAAGCAACTATAATTATAAGACCCAATCATAATAATCATAATATTCAATACTAGTTGATAAGATCCAATTAGATTGATGGTTAATCCGTTCCGATTTTTCTTGTCTCTTCCCCACAAAGTCACTACCATATCCATAAAGAAAACCCTGTCATGTTTTGTCGAAAACATAGGCAAAAAAAACAACATAACTTTCACTGGACAAATTACATGATAAACACTATAAACTATAAACCATTGTTTGGCTATCAAAAGTATGTGTTCTGAATACAGCCCATCATGTGCGTGTGTGTTTTTAAATAGTGATCGGATGTGGCATTGCCTAAAATGGCAAGTTCAGTAGAACTATGGAAACAACTACAACTGAAAGCAACGCACACCATATTAATTTTATTTAATTTGTATAAACTGGTTGATTCTTCTAAGTCAATATGGGTCACTAAAGTCAATTAATTAACCCTAAAATGTAAAAAAGTGTCCATTAATCCACTAAATGTTTTTTCAGTGTCCATTAATCCACTCTTTAGACCAATCCACCGGGCTTCGAACGATTTATACATATATAAATGAATCCTCATCTACCTGAAACCATTGCACGCGGGTTCGGGTACACGCGCGCACCCTGAAAAGCGTCAAAGCCGCAAAGCCGCCATGGAACGCTCACGCCGCAAAGCCGCAAAGCCGCAAAGCCGCCATGGAACGCTCAAGCCGCAAAGCCGCAAAGCCGCAAAGCCGCCATGGAACGCGTAAGCCGCAAAGCCGCAAAGCCGCAAAGCCGCCATGGAACGCGCAAGCCGCAAAGCCGCAAAGCCGCAAAGCCGCCATGGAACGCGCAAGCCGCAAAGCCGCCGAGCCGCCGAGCCGCCGAGCCGCAAAGCCGCAAGCTTTGAGACGCAGGCGCCGTCTCCTGTGTTCATCGCCGCTGTGTTGCCAGAGCGTCAAGAAGCGTCAAAGAGCCGCAAAGCGCCAAGGCGTCGAAGCACCACGACGAAGCGTCAAAGCGGCAAAGCTTCAAGAAGCGCCAAAGCGTCAAGAAGCGTCAAAGCTTCAAGAAGCGGCACAGCGCCGAAGCGTCAAAGAGCCGCCAACGAAAGGCTGGCTGTGCTTAGAAGGGGACGGGCTTGCTTACGGAAAGAGGTCTGCAACCAAAGGCTGGCTGTGTTTAGAAGGGGACGGGCTTGCATATTGCGAGACAATTCGTAGCGAATTCCGAAGAACAATGGCAGATGTTAAGATTGAAACGTAGCATTCGACTAAACGAATGGCAATTTTCCTTCCTATTTGGTTGAAAGATATTATCTACAATGTCCCCCCCGGTGTGATAGACAGTCCCGGCCTATGCGACACAGACCTTGCAAAAACAACTTTCAACAAGAACAAGAACAAGAACAGCAACAACAACCACAACCACAACAACCACAACCACAACAACAACCACAGCCACAACAACAACCACAGCCACAACCACAACCACAACCACAACCAACAACAACAACAACAACAACAGCAGCAACAACAACAACAGCAACAGCAACAGCAACAGCAACAACAAGAACAACAACAAGAAGAAGAAGAAGAATAAGAAGAAGAAGAAGAAACAGAAGAAGGAGAAGAGGAAGGAAAAAAAAACAAGACAAAGAACAATAACAAATAGAACAAGGAGAACAATTGAAATCAATATGGAGAACAAGATGAAGAACAAGAACAAGAACTACAACAAGAACAAAAACAAGAAACAGAACAATATCAAGAACAAGAAGAAGAACACAACCACAAGAACAAATCTAAGAACAAGAACCACAACACCAACAACAATAAGTCCTTAACTTTCGATCATCCTTGATGCTACGCTGCAAGATCTTGCCCTTGATTTTCGAACAACTTTGATGCTACGCTGTCAGATCACAGCCTGATCTTGCAATCATCTGGGATGCTACCGTGTAAACATTTTGTCCTTAACTTGCAAATCTTTGTTGCTACAAAGTAAGATCTTGTCCTTAGCCTTCAAGCATGTTGGATGCTACGCTCCAAGCTTCTGTCTGTCTTGTCCCTAACCCTCAAACATGTTGGATGATACGCTGTAAGTTCTTGTCCTTAACGGACAAGAACCAGAACAAAAACAAAAACCACAACCACAAGAACAATATCAAGAGCAATAACCACAACATCAACAACAGTAACAACAACAACAACAACAACAATCAGAATAACAAGAAAAAGAAGTGCTAATAAATAAAAAAACAAGAGCACAAACAACAATAACAACTTTAATAACAAGAACAAAAACGAAAACCAGAACAAGAGAAATAATAGCAAGTTCTGGGAAGATCTGGATGCTACCCAAGAAGATCTTGTCCTGAACTCTCAAGCATCTTGTATGATTTTGGTTGCTATGGAGTAAGACTTTATCCGTTACATTCAATCATCTTGAGTGTTACGGTGTAAGATCGTGCCCTTGACATTCAATCATCTTGGACGCTACGCTCGAAGCGCTTGTCCTTAACTTTGAACATCTTGGATGATATGCTCTAAAATCTTGTCCTTGAATTACAAACATCTTGGATGCTTCCCTGTAAGATCTTACCCTTAATTTTCAATCACCTTTGATGCTACGGTGTAAGATCGTGCCCTGAACTTTCAATCCTCTTGAATGCTACTGTGTAAGCCTTGTCCTTAGCTTGCAAACATGTTGGATGATACGCTGTAAGGGGGTGTTGGATGGTACACTGTAAGCTGTTGTCCTTAGCCTTCAAACATCTTGGATGCAAGCATGTAAGATCTTGTCTATAAATTACAAACATAATTGGTGCTTCGGCGTAAGATCTTGTGCTTTCAAACATCTTGGGCGCTACAGAGTCAGATCTTGTCCTTAACTTTCGATCATCCTTGATACTACGCTGTCAGATCGCAGCCTGATCTTGCAATCATCTGGGATGCTACCGTGTAAGATTTTGTCCTTGGCTTGCAAATCTTTGTTGCTACGAAGCAAGATCTTGTCCTTAACCTTCAAGCATGTTGGATGCTACGCTCCAAGATTCTGTTTGTCTTGTCCCTAACCCTCAAACATGTTGGATGATACGCTGTAAGTTCTTGTCCCTGACGAACAAGAACAAGAACCAGAACAAGAGAAAGAACCATAACCACAAGATTAGAAAGAAGAACCACAACATCAGCAACAACAACAGCAGCAGCAACAACAAGAACAACAATAACAATAACAAAACACAATAGTTAAACAACAAGAGGAAGAACAGCGGTAACAACATTAACAACAAGAACACGAACGAAAACGAGAACAAGAGAAATAATAACAAGTTCTTGGAAGATCTGGATGCTGCCCAAGAAGATCTTGTCCTGAACTCTCAAGCATCTTGTATGATTTTGGTTGCTATGGAGTAAGACTTTGTCCTTAACTTTCAATCATCTTGGGTGCTACGATGTAAGATCGTGCCCTTGACATTCAATCATCTTGGACGCTAGGCTCGAAGAGCTTGTCCTTAACTTTGAACATCTTGGAAGCTATGCCCTAAGACCTTGTTCTTGAATCACAAACATCTTGAATCTGGGATGCCACGCTGTAAGACCTTGCCCTTAATCTTCAAACACCTTTGATGCTACGGTGTCAGGTCTTGTCCTTAAGTTCTAAACATGCTTGATGCTACTTTGCAAGATCCTCTCCTTAACTTTCCAGCATCTTGGATGTTACGGTGCAAGATTCTGTCCTTAACTTTCGAACATGTTTGATGCTATGCTGAAAGGCCTTGTCCTTAACTTTCAATCATTATGGATTGTACGGTGTAAGATCTTGTCCTTAACTTTCAGCCATCTTGGAGAACACGCTGTAAGACCTGTCCTTAACTTTCAATCATCTTGGGTGCTACGCTGTCAGGTCTTGTCCCCAACCTTCAGACATGTTGGATGATACGCTGCAAGTTCTCGTCCTTGCCTTACAAAAACAAAAACCGCAACAGCAAAAACAAGATTAAGACTCTGGTCAAGATGGAGATTTTTCCTTCAACCAATCTATTGATGATGGTCGGCTTCAAAACTCCGCAGAGCCTGGTTTATAAGATTTGATATAGGTATGACGATGGAATTCAAACCTCCACCAGTTAGAGTATACCCTTTTCATCAATGATGACATGCTCAATAACCAAAGTTATAAGTTATAACACACTCAAAGATGTTATGACCCGCGAAACGGCGACTTACAAGCCACACTTGTTAATCACCTACTAAGGTAAACCATCATTAAACAACCCACAAAAATTACTAAACAGGTAGTCGTAAGTTCGCTGGCTGCAGGTGAGCGCTGGCCCTCAAATACAAACAATCTGGCCCTTTGGTTTTTCTCCGAAACAGCTTTTATACCTATGTTTCAATCGGTGCTTGAAAAAAAGTAAAATCTACAAAATCACTTTTTTTCCAAGATGGCATGTCTCAAAGAGCCGCAAAGTGCCAAAGCGTCACAGAGCCGCGAAGTCTCAAAGCGCCAAGAAGCGCCAAAGCGTCAAAGAGCCGCAAAGCGCAAAAGGGCCAAGAGGCACCAAAGCATCAAGAGCGCCAAGCGCCAAAGCGCCAAAGCGCCAAAGCGTCAAAGAGCCGCAAAGCGCCAAAGGGCCAAGAGGCACCAAAGCATCAAGAGCGCCAAGCGCCAAAGCGCCAAAGCGCCAAAGCGCCAAAGCGCCAAAGCGCCAAAGCGCCAAAGCATCCAAGCGTTCAGGCTTTGAGGCTTTGAGGCTTTGAGGCTTTGAGGCGTAGGACACGCGCCAAAGCGCCAAAGCATCCAAGCGTTCAGGCTTTGAGGCTTTGAGGCTTTGAGGCGTCGGAAAAGCGTCAAGAAGCGCCAAAGCGCGCAAGAGCCGCCAAGCGCCAAAGCGCCACAGCATCCAAGCGTTCAGGCTTTGAGGCTTCAAAGCCTGAAAGAGCCGCCAAGCGCCAAAGCGCCAAAGCATCCAAGCGTTCAGGCTTTGAGGCTTTGAGGCTTTGAAGCGTGAGGCGCCAAAGAGGCTTTGCAGCTTTGAGGCCTGAGGCGCCAGAGAGGCTTGGGAGCTTTGAGAATTTGAGGCGTGAGGCGCCAAAGAGGCTTTGCAGCTTTGAGGCTTCGCAAACCTTAGCGGGCCTGATCCCCCATACTCTGCCTGAAACTATATAGATTATATGAACTATTCTAACTATAAAAATTCACCATTCCATTCAGGTATATAAACTATATATAAACGATATATTCCTATAAATCCAATGACATCCTCATTTTTTTTGCTTCTGACATATCAGCATTTTCCCAAGCGTATCCCACGCCACCAGGAAGGCAACAAAAGGTGAGGCGCCTCACCGACCTTCACGGCAGCTGGACAGAACTGCAATTGGATGGCTGTTGTTTCATCCTCGAGTTTTTTGCTATAAATATTTCTGATAAATATTGAACATATCTTATATATATATATGTAATAACCAGCAACACGTGTTATATTATATTAATGCTGTTATTTGATACATTATAGTATATATATATATATATATACAGTATAATAACCATAATCTTTTGATAAGGCCACATAGTTTTGGGGAGATTCCCTGAAATGTAGCCTTAAGAAAACTAGGCCTGAAAACTACGGGGGTTGTACCTCCAATAATTCAGTTCCTGTTGCATGGCCTTTGACTAAACATGTGTTCCTCCGGAATTTGGATGGTTTTTGGGATATGAATGGGATATAAATTTGGAAGCATCTAAGAAACATCTGGTAAACTGGATGGGTGCAAATCAGAAGATTTTATGGGATAGATATATATATATGGGTAAATTTCATCACGACCTCACTGCGACCTCACTGGAAATCATGGTTAATAAGGGAACTCATCCCCACTCCCCACATGGCCTTAATTCAGGTTAGTGAAATATCATAATTTACTCAGATATATACGATTATAAATGTAAACTGTCTATGCCGATATGTATGGACACAAGTTTTGGGAATGTGAGCTCATATCACGAACCATCATGTTGGAACCCCAAGACATGGTGAAAATTATTTTTTTTGGGGATATACATGCAAATCATTTGATGAAATATAAATGGGACATGATGGGATGATATAGCCATGATATGGGGGTTTGTTTGAACATCTGGTCGACAAACCAAAATGGCCTTTCGACTTAGGGGTGCCCCAAATTTTCAGGAATTTACTTTTGATGTTTGGTTGTGCCCCAGCACCCCCAAACTGGGTAAACTTTGGTTAGTCACTTTAGTCATCTAATCCTTTGCTATCAATGGTAACATGTACTATGTATATAATCAGCAAATATATATATAATATTATATAATATAAAACATATATAAAATGTATGTAATATTTATAATATATATTATATAATATATATAATTTATATTTAATTGATATAATATAAATATATATAATTTATATATAATTTATATATAATTTATATATAATTTATATATAATATATGATATATATATATACATATTATATCATATATTATATATAAATTATATATGATTTATATATATATATATATTTATACATGTTGTCCTATTATAAATAGATTATATGTGAATTATACATTATATATAATATATATTATTAATAGTATATATATGTTTTATATTATATATATATACTATATATATATATTGAATATATATATTGAATTTTAAATTATATGATAATGTGTATATATATATTATTTATATTTATAATATGCAATATAATTTAATATATTATATTTTAATACAATAGAATTTATTTTCATAAATATTCTAATATATATATATATATATTGTAGATAATATATATATATACGTACAATATATATAGTGTATATATGTATATATCATATATATATATATATCATTTGGATATTATATATATATATATACTATCTATAAATTATTTATATATATATATTATAACATACATAATAATATATATATATATATATTACTATTATTCTTATATATATTATTATATATATATTTGCCAGGTATCTATATAAGATTCTTCATGCACATGCCCAAACGTCGGGAGCAGATCCTGCAAGGAATGTCTTTCAAGCAGTTGGTGGACGTGCTCAGCATCTTTGCTCGAGCAGGTGGACCGATGGATGTCAGGCGATTGGACCCATTGATGACGAATACCCATTTCATGGATGTTAATGGTGATTTATGGTATTTTTTGGTGATTTCATGGGATGTAATGGGATTTACCCTCTAGTAATTTGTGACAGTTTGCTATTGAAAATCGCCATTTCCAGTGGATTTACCCATTGAACATGGTGATTTTTCATAGTTATGTAAACGTTTACCAGAGGGTACTTCATTTTATATGTGCGTTGCAAGGATTGCCAACTTTTGGATAGATGACCATACCCTTTATACTGTGTTTTGACCATGGCATATGTTGGTATATAATAATCCTTAAAAAGATAAGATAGAAAGGTTATGTCCCGCCATTCTGGTAGGATCTTACTATAGGTTATATATTATAGGCTCGATGGAACTGCACATGAAAGTGTTTCTTTTTTTAACGATGGTTTGTTGGAGAATGGGGGACCATTCCCATAAAATTGCCATTCTAATAGGGAACAGCTGCTTGGTGATAATTGATGGTTGATGTATGTTGATGTCTCGTGGTTGATACGAATCATCCCCAAGAAGAGCCTTGGTGGGTGAAATATGAAGTATTCATCCAGATAGATGTAAATAGCATATATTTTTTAGAGTTTATGGTCATTTATCCATATATTCAATGATATTTAATACACATAAGCATATAGCATCTCGCTATTTTGCTCATTACATATCATTCTAGATATTACCCGGATGATATCATCATTATTGGGATATACTCTTGTAAACCCCAAAAAGAGAACGAAACGTGTTTGCAGGAATTTATACCCTCTGGTAAACTAACATAACTATGGACAATCACCATTTTTGATGGGAAAATCCACTATAAATGGCCATTTTCAATAGCTATGTTAGTTTACCAGATGGTATAGATGATGTTTAATACATATTTCCAGGTTTCCCACTTTTCTATCTATTTTGGGGCTGCTATTTCGATACTTGTACCTATAGTTGGGATTAATGGGGCTTATCAGCAAACAAACATCATTGGTGGCCCCACATGGTGTATATATGTACACTTATATATATATATATATATGATACATTATGATACATTATGATACTACAAAATCTTCCCCAGAAACTATGATCAAATTTAGGGTTTACCGTCTGGTAAACGTTTACACAACTCTGGAAAATAACAATTTTATAGCTGGGTAAATGAACTATTTCGACTGGGCCATTTTCAATAGCAAACTGTCACAAATTACCAGAGGGTAAATCCCATTACATCCCATTAAATCACCATAAATTACCATAAATCACCATTAAAATCCATTAAATCACCATAACCAGAAGGTAAAATCCATTAAAATCCATTAAATCACATTAAATGGGTATACGTCATGGGTCTCCAGTAGAAAATCACCAGAGTTTCACTTCCGCGTCCCTTGGCCAAGGAAGTGCCTCGTTGCAGATCAGCGGCTGGGCCACCCGCGCCTTCAGTGCAGCACGCGAGCGGATCCAGGACGACTTCCCGGGGGGCCAACGTGGCTGGAAACTCCCGGGCCAAAACATGGGGAAAAATCTCTGGAAAATATGGGAAGGAATGCAAGAATGTGGGGGTCAAATGGAGGTTTATATTCCTGGAAATTCATCTGTAGGTTATGGATTTTCCAATATTTTCCAGCTTACCATGTTTGCCAGAAGGCGCACCATCCAAAGTCGATGGCCAAAGGGTGTGTTTGAAAAAGTCTACACCTAACTTAACACCTAAATTCAAGAGTTAAGCATCATTTTCCAAGTAATGCTGATGGGCCAAAAAGTGATGTGTACCCTCCGGTAATTACATACATTGGGACCATGATTCCATCATGTAGTTCGATGATTTTCCCAACTATAAACTCCAATTTAGAGGGTTAGTCATGAGCATGAAATTTTACGGTATTTTAACTGAATGGACAATTGTTCATGGGTTTGAAGCATTATCGAAGGAAGTTTAGAAGTCAAACTTCCGACAATATGGACAGATGAAAAGCAGAGATGGGAAGAGTCAGAGAGAAGAGAAGAGTAGAAGAGAGAAGATCAGAGAAGAGAAAGAGTCAGAAGAAAGAAGATGCAGATGCGCGAAAAGGTAGGAAAGTCGCGAAACACTGTGTTTTTCCAATGATTGCGGAGCCATCTGACCAGATGAGAGATGAAAAATTGCACGCCGTTGTGGCGCGAAGCACATTGCCAAGTCAAAATGTACAAAACACACCAGGTTTGGACCACTCTTGGAAGTTGAGATGTTGAAAAAGTGCACGCCGTTGTGGCACGAAGGACATTTCCAAGTCAAAATGTTAAGCACCAGGGGTTCGGACCACTTTTGGAAGTTGCGATGTCGAAAAAATGCACGCCGTTGTGGCGCGAAGCACATTTCGAAGTCAAAAATGCAAAAAACTGACGGGTACGGAGCACTTTTGGACGTTCAGATGTGCTTTCGCGTGGCAGGCGCAAGGGATTGTGCACGTTGTCAAAAGTGAGCAAAACGTGAAGGTTTTGCGGCATGGGGTGATAGATAGATGGACAGAGATAGCTAGATAGATAGATAGATAGATAGATAAATAGATGGATGGATGGATGGATGGAATTATACACATACAATTATTTACATACCTATATATATATAATATCACCCCCTGCAGATGGGGAATCTGATTCGCCACAGGAAGAAGATCCAGAGGTCGAATGGCAAGACTTCAGCACTGAGCAGATGCTGTCGATCATCGCCTCTCGGACACGGACCCAAGTTTTTTTTTGGATGGGAAACCAAATGGCAAACCTAGAGTCATTAATTGACACAACTATGTGATACTGTATAGAAACCTTTGACAGTCATGGACCATGGAGCTCTATATTGATGTATGTTTGTCATGTTTGTGCCATGATTTTCCTGTTGATGATTTTGTCTTCCATGTTTAGATGATTTAATACTGAAAGGTCGTTCTTGACATGGCCAAGGACAGCATGGCGCGATTTTCCACTCAAAACAACGAGACCATCTTGCGGAAGTTTGGACGGGAAAGGCAGGGGTACAGATCAGCGACTGGATGTCAGAGGGATGGTGGTACCAGAGTCCAGAGTGGTACATTGGGATGCTCCCACATTTGACAATTGCTTAGTATAACGCAGTAAACCCATGTAAATCCCATATATATATAATGATATATGTATACGTATATCCCACTACAAAGGTGTTGAATGCAGGTCCCAACCAGTTACTCACACCATGGGCACAATGAATCCAAGTAAAGAACAGAGGTTTGCTGCCTGTTCATAACCTTATGGTGATCTCAGCCAGTGGAATTTTAACATCCATGCCTTGGCATAGCTCTGTTTTCAGTTCTAAATTTCATCCGCTGTTTCTGCGCACAGGTTTTCTGGTATCCGCAAACATATACTGTATATACACATACTGTAACTCGTAAGTGTCCTATCAATATTCCGATATTTCCCTTGATGGTGCATGTAGCTACAATGATGCTGCATGAGTATGGATCAAAATTGCTTACGACTTCCCAAAATGGGTTTGGTCGCGAAACATAAGCAGCTACTCGTCAGCTTTCACTTGGTATCTTCCCAACATCCAATACGGACCCAAGGTATTTTTGGTCATGTACAGTAGTGAACCTTGAACCAGAACTCACCAATGGTTTCAACGAATTTGCTACGGAACTTTCTCTTTGCGGAGACCTGATGATCGTCCATCTGTGGGTCCCAGATCTTGGTTGTCGAGTTGTCCCGAGCTCCATGTTTCTACGCTGGCCGCAGGTTGCACCCAAAGTTGTTGCAGCTGGAGCCCAAAGACGTTGCTAAGCTCTGCTCCGCCTATTCGCACTTGGGCTTCCAGCACCACACGGTCTTCAAGGAGGCCTTGAAAAAATCGCCACACCTGGGAGGTCGGGGTCGAAATGTTGGGCACGCCCAGGTTGTTAGCTGTCGAAGTTAGATTACCAGTAGTACCGCGCAAGGCGGTGGCGGAAGTTTCAAAAATAGGAAACCTATAGGAGAGGTTGGTTGTTGTGAATCAGGGATGGCAGAGCTAGTCCACTGATGGACCGAAAGTTGCTTGAGGTCTCCCACTCTTTCTTGCTCTTTCTCTGACTATCTACCTACCTACCTACCTATCTACCTATCTATCTATCTATCTATCTAACAAACAAACTAACTAACTAATTAATCTATCTGTCTGTCTATCTATCTATCTGTCTATCTCTCTATCTATCTGTCTGTCTGTCTGTCTGTCTGTCCATCTATCTATCTATCTACCTGTCTACCTACCTATCGATCTATCTATCTATCTATCGATCTATCGATCGATCCATCTATCGATCTATCTATCTATCTATCTATCTATCTATCTGTGGAGTGTAGTTGTAGTTGTAGTGTTGTGGAGTGTAGTGGAGTGGAGTGTAGCGTAATGTAGTGTAGTGTAGTGTAGTGTAATTTTAGTGTAGTGGAGTGTAGTGTACTTTAGTGTAGTGGAGTGTAGTGGAGTGTAGTTGTGTAGTTGTAGTTGTAGTTGTAGTGTAGTGGAGTGTAGTGTAATGTAGTGAAGTGTAGTGGAAGGTAGTGTAGTGTAGTGTAATGTAGTGTAGTGGAGTGGAGTGTAGCGTAATGTAGTGTAGTGTAGTGTAGTGTAATTTTAGTGTAGTGGAGTGTAGTGTACTTTAGTGTAGTGGAGTGTAGTGGAGTGTAGTTGTGTAGTTGTAGTTGTAATGTTGTGGAGTGTTGTGTAATGTAGTGTGGTGTAGTGGAGTGTACATCTGAATCTCCAAAAGTGGTCCAAACCCCTAGTGTTTTTAACATTTTGACTTGGAAATGTGCTTCGCGCCACAACGGCGTGCACTTTTTCGACATCTGAACCTCCAAAAGTGGTCCGAACCCCTAGTGTTTTGTACATTTTGACTTGGAAATGTGCTTCGCGCGACAACGGCGTGCATTTTTTCGACATCGCAACTTCCAAAAGTTGTCCGACGCTGAGGTGCTTTGTACATTTTGACTTGGAAATGTGCTTCGCGCCACAACGGCGTGCACTTTTTCTACATCTCAACTTCCAAAAGTGGTCCGAGAATGGTGTGTGTTGTACATTTTCACTTCGAAATGTGCTTCGCGCCACAACGGCGTGCACTTTTTCAACATCTCAACTGCCAAAAGGTGTCCGACGCTGAGGTGCTTTGCACATTTTGACTTGGAAATGTGCTTCGCGCCACAACGGCGTGCTTTTGTTCAACATCTCAACTGCCAAAAGTGGTCCGAAGCTGAGGTGTTTTGCACATTTTGACTTGGAAATGTGCTTCGCGCCACAACGGCGTGCAATTTCTCATCTCTCATCTGGCCAGCTGGCTCTGCACCCGCCACTTTAGCGAGCCTACTTTTCGACCTTCCGGAGCCCCAAATCATTGGAAAAACATAGTGTTTCGCGACTTTGCGACCTTTTCACGCATCTGCATCTTCTTTCTTCTTACTCTTCTTTCTTCTACTCTTCTTTCTTCTAATCTTTCTCTTCTCTCTGCCTCTTCCCTGCTCTGCTTTTCATCTGTCCATATTGTCGGAAGTTTGACTTCTAAACTACCTTCGATGACTGTTAGATACTGTTAGATTGTTTTGTGGTGGTTTCCTAAAATTGGGGGTACCCCCAAATCATCCATGTATAGATTGGTGTTCCATTAAAAAACAATCAATTTTGGGGTACACCCATTTATGGAAACGCCCATATGTTTCTGTTGGCTGTGATAGTGAATCGGGGGATTCAATAGTTTAAGCCCCATATTTGAGGCAATACCCCCATTACTGTTTGTTGGTTAAGTGCGTTGGCAATCCCATCCTTCCTAATATTAAATCAACCCAATGCGGACCCATCCACTACTAAACCAGAGGTTCTGGGTGGGCCTTATTGATGTTCAACATTAGGGGGAAGGGATGATTATCCCCACATTGAGTACAAATATGTGACATGTCTGACATATCATATGTCTACCATAAATCATAAACGCTAGTGACTAGAGTTATGAACCAACTTACCGACCTCAAACACCTCAGACACCAACTCAAGATTTGGGTTTGTCTGAAAGTTATTGCAAAACCATTCCATCCACTAATTCACCATTTTGCCTATGAAATGGCGATAGCCACTATTTTATTTCTTATGGTCAAATCACTATTTCTAAATGTAAAACTAATCAGAAACCTCCAATTCCTCGTGGTGTGTACCACCCATGTATGGAAATATTGGCCAGAGGTGTTCTGCTTTTTCAAAGAGTAGGGTATCTCGTCTTGCCTAAATATTGGAGTTATATATATATATATAATTATATATATATATTCTAAATTATATGGTCTATTCTTGGGTAAGCATCACATTGATTTTTAAGATGTGTTTGCCCAATAATACACCCATAACCAATAATAATGTCGTGTTATGACTGGTTGTGCCAATAATAGCTATACTACCCCACAACCAACAAAAACATATTGATATATTGATAACTATTGATCATTCCTACGGTATCATTATACCAATATGCTATCAACACAAAAGGATGATTAGATTGGGGTGCAATATCTTAATATTGATTTACCATTGATAATTAACCATAAATGTATTAAGATCACCATGGTTTCCTATTGGCTATCAATATATTAATATTAAATATTGATATTAAAATATGGAAAACATAATTAACCAATACTTAACATTATATATATATTCTGCTTGGTGAATATGGTTTCAGGCTCCATGCTTTCCCATTCTTCCAATCTCTTAGTCGCCACAGGTGCTGTTAGCCATCTCCGATGAGCAGCAGCAGATCCAGCGCCAGCGCATCCTGGGGCTGACGGCTGCCGGCGCGGAGGAGCGGCCAGGGCTTCCCGGGCGGCCAGGGTGGCCAGGGTGGGGTCCCGCCGGGGCCATGGGGTGACTTAGGACGAGGTTGAAAATCGGGAACGTGAAATGATGGTGAAATGATAGTGATACCCCTTGAGTCGACTAACATAGCGGAAAATGATGGAAGCTGGCAAAAGGACCGTGGAAATAACAGGAAACTCATCTGCAAATGGGTAATATTCCATGGATATGTTGAATTGCCAGAGGGTAAATCATTGGTAAATCATGTAATGGGTATGTCATATATCATTGTTGCTGTAAATGTCAACAAAAAACATTCGGTTAATGTGCAATTTGATTATTGTGTGATAATTTTCTTTTGAATATGGACCATTCTTGGACAAATCCACGTTGTTGGTTGTTTTTATGGGTCCTTAAATCTTCTTTTTGAAGGTCAAGACCATGGTTTCCTGCCAAGTGTCCCTTAAATCAAACCATTGACAATGTTCTCAGTTGGTGTATGTTTTATATATACATATACCGTCCAACTGCAAATATGTTTATCATAAGCCATATAAATCGCACTTATATCCCTACTAGTAGTTAGCTTGATATGGATCAACAGAAACCTATATAGTTACTATCATTATTATAGTGCATTGGAGTTGATTTACGTAGACATATAGTTATAGTTATTATGCATATTTATAAACCAACAGAAACCTAGGGGTCCACCCTGCAGAAAACTGGTTTGTTTGTTTTTTTTTTGTGGTTTGATTTTTGCGCCCTTTTTGAAGATGTGCATCACAACACTTGAATTTATAATTTGTCAAAACATCTGAATTATGATTCCCCGAGGGTAATGATGCTTAGTAAGAAGAATCATCCCGAAATGGTGCTGTTTGAGCTGTTTTCAGGTTAGTGAATGATTACACACTGTATAATTCAGCCAGAAATGTCGGGCAAATTGCATTTGTTAACGCGGAACATGACCGTATGAATAGGACAAGTAAATTTAACAATCAAATGTACGTTGAACCCCATCAACTATGGCTTTTTGAGCACATATAAGTACCATAAACAATAGTTATTGGAGTTAGTCTGATCTAATGGGAACAACCATGGATTTGAGGTAATGCCAAAGCCTGATTCAACAACCGCAGAGAGAGTTTTCATATTTGGAGGGTACAAGGTTTGGCCCTCCAGTTTGAAATTTTATTGGTTGACAAAACCCCGAACTGTAGCTCTATCACCCTAACCAACCCGAATATTAAGCAAGTTATGCCCGTCGACTTAGCGATTTCGTTTACCGGGCCCCATTCCACGAATAGGGTGCATTTTTATATACAGCATCCCATTACTAGGGGGTATACCCAATGTCATAAACCTCAATTTGGGATGGTTTATGGCATTGGGACCACATTATTCAACTACCCAACTAACCACTGACCATTATTAACGGCTATTATTATTAACCACTGATAGACTGTTAACCATTATTATGCATAAGATTACCATTATATTATATATATATATATATCATTCATGAATTTCATGAAGCAACAGGATATACCATTATATATTATATATAGCAACAGGATGTTTTTTTCTGCCTGTTGGAGCCCCCTTTTTTGTCCATCGCAGGAGAAATTTCGTTTCGGGTCGACCGAGGTGGGTTCGACCTGGTGGTAGGTCGTGGAACCTGGTGGGGAACTGGGATGTACCATCTGGTTATTTAACAGTTCACCATGGAAAGATCCACCATTTTTAATAGGTAAACCATCTTTTTCTATGGGCCATCTATACCATGGCTATGTTAGTCATAACCAGAGGGTAGCACTTATTTTGGTGAAAATGATCATAGAAATGATGTTCTGAAATGTAATGCAAATCTGTGACGCTCCAGCTTAGCAGCAACGCTGGCCTTGCAGTACCGATTGCTCACAGCGCTGTGGAACTTCGCAGGCTGCGAGGCATGATGCAACCCCACAGCGTTGCCGATGCAGTATGGTGGATCGTCGGTGGCGAAGGGCATCTCCTCGCAAGCGCTCTCCTGGCTTTGGTGCTACACGGAGGCATCCTTCCCGATCTCAGCACGAAAGGAGGCGGCTCATCGCTGCTCTGGACTACTGAGAAGGCGCCTTGGGAACCTGCTGCCAGTGAAACCTTCGAGCTGTTCGCCTTGCCTGCAGAGACCGATTGCCATTGCTTCGCGTCACCGGTGCCTGAGATCAACTGCTGCTGCCATCGTCAGCGACAGCCCTGTCCGCCAGACAGGACTGGAGGAGATGCGCCGCAGTGGCATTGGCCATCACGTGAAGCTGATCTCCGGGAGCTTGTCGCTGGTCTGGTTCGATCCGGCTCTCGGTTGCCATGCCTTGGAGCCAGTCCTCCGCCAATGCTCCACTACAGCTGCAAGCATTCGAACGGGCTGCGGCTCAGGTGCCTCACCTGAGGATGCTCTGCCCTCCAAGGCATCACCATGGAGTGCTGGCCTTCGCTTTGCACTATGGCTATTGACCAATAGTCATAGTCATTGTGGTCTCATGAAAATAGAAATGATCATGAAAATATCATTGATGTAACTTTTCTCCATTTTAAATGTTAATGGAACTGGGATAATCGGATAATATTGTTCTTTGATAGGTGTGTGGCCCCCAAACGATAGCTGGGTTACATATACTGGTTGGTGGTGTGGAACATTTTTATTTTTCCAAATATTGGGAATAATCATTCCAACTGACTAATATTTTTCAGAGGGGTTGAAACCACCAACCAGTATAACTTGGTCAACTAGGCTTCCAGACATGAACGGACTATATTTTAAACGCCTGTTTCATTTGGATCCGTCTTGTTTGAAGACATTAAGAGTCCAACACAAAAAAAATATACAACAGAAAAATGTAGAATCTAAGCTTTAACTTGTAATCTGAAAGTCCGGATACTATAATGTAATATCATATACCACAAAATTGTATAATTTAATACACTGCAGTGTTACATAATATAGCATTATAATATATTATAATATGCAATCCCATAAATCATTCAATATAATAAAACAAAACATAACATAATGTAATATAATTTGATATAGTACAATACAATGTAATATGTTAATATATAGTAATATATATTATGATATCATTTAATATCATACAATATAATAAATTATATTATAAAATATAATATCATAGCATAGACTAGCATAAAACATAATTGATATAATATAATGGAATATAATAAAACATAACATAACATAATATAACATAATTTAATATTATATATAATATACTATATTTAATATAATATATAATATAGTATAATGTAATATATAATATGATATATAACATGATATTTAATTTAATATATTTTAAAATAATATATTATAACTATAGTTGAGTATTTGACATTTAGTATCTATATTTATTTTGCTATATAATTCCTTTTATAATGTAATATAATTTGCTAAAATATTAAAAACACACACAAAAACATATATACTATATACACAATACAATATATACTTGAGAAATGTTAATGTACTACTAGTATAGAATATATAAGTTATATTAAAACTATAATATAATATGAACACATTGAATGTATTACGGTATGATAACATATAATGTAATATTCTATAATATGATATAACATAATACATACTAATATGATATCATACAAAATGACATAGTGGAAATATTCAAATTACTATACAATATAATATTTTATATACCCTCTACTGTAATATTTAATATACCGTGTAATATTTAATATAACGTGCAATATTCCATGTACCGTGTAATATTTAATTGTTCATTTAAAGTAAGCCAACAATCAATCGATGATTTACTATTTGATATACTATGATATAAAACCTGAAGGAGATTGTACCAATGGGAATTTCAGGAACCTAAATTGGAGGTACCTACCATATATAAGGCCTATGCTTCAGGCCTATGTAAGAGAATATCCCCACAATTCATATGGCCAAACATATGGTACTAACGTACCTCCATGTATTGGATCCTGAAGATCTCCCATTGATTGTAGATGGGCTCTCCTGCAGTATATCGCCTTTATGCTAGAGGTGCATGGCACTTTTGTCTTGGCTTCCTCAGATCTTGCCTCCCATCGGTATGAAGGAAAAGTGCCCCAAGGAGTTTCCCACAATCCAAATTGATTCCTCGCAGCCCAACGGAAAGCACATCATTGTGAAGCACATGTCCTTCCCAGAAAAATTGAAACCCCAGATGTTCCAAAAAGCTTGCATTTGGTCGACCCTTCAAGCCTCAGCTCATGGCTTCCAATCCCAAAGTTGGCAGAATATATCCTGCAGTACTGCCTTGAAAACTTTGGGTGGTCGAGTTTTCACTTGCTTCGACCTCACATCTCCAGCCACCCGCAAGGGATCCTCCGGGGTGAAGATCCGGGGTTAACGGCTGGGCCCCGGACACTCCAAAAAAACGAAAAAGAAAAAGACACAAAGATTTGGGAGACATGTGGGGTGCTAATATAGTCCAAAAATCATAGTTATTTTTTTTTTCTGGCACTTGGATAGGTGAGGTACATCTCCAGAATTGAGGTCTCAATTGTTTATTGGGGACGGGATGGACACCAAGTGCCAAACTAGGCATGCCCAGAAACCCAACGCTCACAGCGGTCTCTTCTGTTCATATAATATGTGCAATATACGTTGTCTTTCAATAGCATATATAATGTAATTTCATATATAATAGTTACATAAATGATAAATTACATGTTATCAAACTATATTCGAATTTAAAAGATATCACATTTCAAAATGATATACCTCAGTTTTTTTTAAAGACAACACATATATATATATATATATTAACACAGCTTTGCAACCCAACAGCATACCTGAATCTTCCACCTACGTCTTTTTTCAGACCCTGTGCCAAAGTCCTGTTTTTTCAGTACCCAGAAAACTTTTCAGGACCTACTCTCAAATTCAGGACCTGGCCATTTTGGGGTATCAATGGTAATGGCAATCATTGGGTGCAAACATGTGAAACCAACATTTGGTGGATATTCAAGCCATTGGCATTGATCCACGCAAATAAAAGCACTCCCAGCCCAAACTCATGGCAAGGCAGGATCAGAATATAGTATATTCCAGAAAGTATGTCAGAATAGATGCCAGATAGGATGCCAGAAAGAATGTCAAATAGAATCTCAGAAAAGAATGTAAGATAGTATGTCAGAACATATATGCCACATATACGTCCAGATGATATGTCAGAAACTATGTCAGAATAGTGTGTCAGGGTGGGGATCACTCTTAGTAAGGCAATTTTGAAAATATATTTCAGGTTCGGATTTTTCAAACTGTTGTCCTTCAGGCGCCGAAGCTCCCGTTGAAGGTCAGCATCGCCCCATGTCAACTGGTCCAGTCCCACTTCCATTTCAACAAGTCCAACTTCATCGATTAGGGTGTTGGTTGAATGGACTTGGGACTCTAGCTGGCACGGCATCCCTTGTAACCCTGTAGACACTGTAGTGGGCAAAAAGATTGTAACACACAGAATCAGCATCATTTTGATCAGGCATTCTTTTTGCTAATCCTTTCTCCCTATTACGAAAAATACCCCCAAATGACAAAAACTAGGTGCGATTTCCAATTTTGGGAAATGTCAAATTGGTTAATCTGATTTTTAATTGATCCCCTTGAGGAAACAATTTTAAAAATGAAGGTACCATGTGAGGGTTTCACCCCCAAAGAATAAAAAACTAGTCAACACCGGGGTGTCTTTTATTGGGGTCCGTCCTTTAAAATCGTCAATTTTAGTTTTTTTAATTCAGGTGTTGGTGTTTTATTTGATACTAGGCGAAAGCTTCGAAATCCTATTCTTGGCAGTATTCTATTTAAAGATTATTTTCATGGATTTTGAAATTAGAAACAAAAAACGGTTTAATCCCTTCCCCCTGTTGCTAAACAGTCGCCCCTTCACCCACCCACCCAAATAACAAACACCTGGAGGAGTTTTTAGTATTGGGGGGTCTTTAGTATTAGGGTACGAAGCTTCCCCCTAATACTGATAAAAAACACACATATATATATATATACACATATTTCTATTTCAAAATCGATCAGATTTCTTTCTTTTTAAATCCAATTAAAATATGGCAAACAAGTGGATTCCGAAGCTTAATATCAAATAAAAACCCCCAACATAAAAAACTATGTATGTTTTTCTATTTCGAAATCGATTAGATTTCCTTTTAAAAATTAAATAAAATATGGCCAAAAAATTGGATGTCGAAGCTTTTCCCTTATATTAAACCCTAATATCATTTTGTTTTTTTCCTGTTTCAAAATCGATTAGATTTCCTTTTGAAATCTAATGAAAAAAACAAAAAATTGATTTTGAAGCTTTCCCCTAATATCAAATTAAAATCCAATTATTAAAATATGTTCAAAAATTGGATTTCGATGCTTCCCCTAATCTTGCATGAAAAAATCCAATATAAAAAACTAAATTTGTTCTATTTCAGAATCGATTAGATTTCCTTGTAAATTCAAATTAAGATATTGCCAGAAATTGGATTTCGAAGCTTTCCCCTCATATTAAACCCTCATATCAAAGACTATTTTTTCTATATCAAAATTCATTAAATTTCCTTTTGAAATCTAATTAGAATATGGTCAAAAACTGGATTTTGAAGTTTTCCCCTAATATTACATTAAAAAACCCTAATATAAAATATTATTTTTTCTTTTTTGAAATCGATTCGATTTCCTTTTAAATTGTAGTAACAAACATAAAAACAAAAACCGGATTTCGAAATGTTTCCTCTAATATTAAATTACCAGCCCTAATATATTAAAAAAAAACTGTTTCAAAATCGATTAGTTTTCTGTTTAACATATAATTAAGATATTGCTAAAAATTGGATTTCGAAGTTTTCCCCTAAGATTAAATTAAAAACACTAATAAAAAAAACTATGTTTTTTCGATTTCAAGAATCGATTAGATTTCCTTTTGGCATCCAGCAAAAATATTGCCAGGAAATGCCAAAAAGTGGATTTCGAAGTTTTCCCCCAATATTATATAAACGTTGTAATATAAAATACTTATTTTTTCGACCTTAAAAGACCCTAGTTTAAAAAATCACCGGGGCTGACTAGTTTTTATTTTTTGGTGGTGAAATCCTGAAATGGGACCTTCATGTTTAATTTGTTTTTGAAAAGGTATCAATTAAAAGTCAAACTGGCCAGCCTGAAATTTCCCAAAATTTAACGCGGACCCTAGTAAAAGGAATCAATGTAATATTTTAGTATTTAGGGTAGGGTACGTTTAGTAAAAGGAGGTGGGGATTAGTAAGGTTTTCAATTTAATATAAGGGGAAGCTTCGAAATCCAATTTGGCAAGATTTGAGTTAGATTTTGAATAGGAATTCAATCGGTTTTGAAATATAAAGTTCATTTTTTAAAACAAATGTTTTCAATTTAATGTCAGGGGGAAGCTTCGGAATCCAATTTTGGCAATATTTTAGTTAGATGTTATTTAAAAAATGTTTTCCAATTTAGTTTTTTTAACCAAGGGGGAAGTTTCGCACCCTCATACTAAATACCCACTAAATACAAAAAACTATTCCGTGTGTTCATTATTGGGTGGGGAGGGGCAGACGGTTTATTATGACGCAGGGATTGGTCAGGCATCACTTGCTGCAATTATTGGATTCTTTTGGGATGATTGGTATGATGTTTAGTCAGGCATGGTTCCCTTCAGTCATGCACGATTTTTGCAAAAATCCTATTTAGGCACGACCCCAAAATCCCAGCCCGGCAAATTCCGGCCCGGGTCCGGCAAATTCCGGCCCGCGCCCTGCAAATTCCGGCCCTGCGTTTTTCCAAAATCAGGCAAAACCACTAAATCAGGTATTAAGTCAGGTGTAGTTACCTTTTAAGTCATTAAGGCTAGTCAGGCATGGTTCAAGTGGGTACCTTTTAATTGTGAAGGCTAGTCAGGCATGGTTCCCTGAATTCAGGGGCATGGGTACCTTTTAATTATGAAGGCTAGTCAGGCATGGGTTCTGTTAAGTCAGGCGTGGGTGGGTACCTCTTAATTATGAAGGCTAGTCAGGCATGGTTCCCTTAAGTCGGGTGTGGTTACGCTTTAAGTCATGAAGGCTAGTCAGGCATGGGTACCTTTTAAGTGATGAAATCTGAATCAGGCGGAGCTCCTATTCTAAATGTGTTAAATCCAATTGTTCAGTGTGGAAAATCGATTTTTTGGCTGGTCTACGGGCAAACCCTGTGTCTTCCAATACCATAGCGTGCTGATGTCGCTTGCCTGCATAATAGTTAAGGCCAAAGCTTAGGTCATCAGTGTGATCCTGAAATGGCGCCACGACCAAGAAGATGACATGTGTAAAATGGGCCCTGGATTAACAAAGGCTGACTAATGAATTTGGAGGATGCCACTAAAGTATGACATGTAATCACTTTTGAGGAGCACTCTATGGCACGCAGCGCGCGCAGCCTGCTTTACGGTTTAGCGTTTGAAAGTTTTAGGCTTTGCCTCTATGGCACGCAGCGTTTGAAAGTTTAACCGTTTACCTCTATGGCAGGCTGTGCGCGCAGTACGCGTTACGGTTTAAAGTTTAAAAGTTTTAGGGTTTATGTGTGTGGCACGCAGTGCGCGCAGCGCGCATTAGGGTTTAGGGTTTGGAAGTTTTATAGTTTATTTTATTGCATGCAGCGTGCACAGCGTGGGTTGAACTTTAGGGTTTCGAAGTTTTAGGGTTAACCTCCATGACACGATGGTTTAGGGTTTGGAGATTTTAAGGGGTACTTCTAAGGCACACAGCGCGCGCAGCGCGCGTTAGGGTTTAGGGTTTAGGGTTTGGAAATTTTAGGGTTTACCTCTATGACACGAGAGTTTCAGGTTTGAAGATATTTTAGGGTTTATTTCTATTGCACAAAGCGCGCGCAGCGCGCATTAGTGTTTAGGGTTTGAAGGTTTTAGGGTTTATCTCTGGCACGCAGCGCGCACAGCACGCATTAGGGTTTAGGGTTTGGAAGTTTTAGGGTTTATTTTATTGCATGCAGCGCGCACACCGCGGGTTAAACTTTAGGGTTTGGAAGTTGCATAACACGATGGTTTAGGGTTTGGAAATTTTAGGGTTTACTTCTCTGGGACACAGCGCGCGCACCGCGCATTAGGGTTTAGGGTTTGGAAGTTTTAGGGTTTACTTTATTGCATGCAGCGCGCGCAGCGCGCATAGAGTTTAGGGTTTGGAAGTTTTAGGGTTTCAAGGGTTCCAAGGTTCCAGGGTACCAGGGTCCCACGGTTTCAGGGTTCCAAGGTTTCCAGGGTTCCAAGGGTTCCAAGGGTTCCAGGGTTTCAGGGTTCCAGGATCCCAGCAGGGTGCCAGGTGTGCAGGGTTGCAGGGGGTTCCAGGGTTCCAAGGTTGCAGGGTTCCAGAATCCTTGAGGGTTCCAGGGTGCCAAGGTTCCAAGGTTTCAGGGTTCCACGGTCGCAGGGTTCCAAGGTTCCAGGGTTTCAGGGTTCCAGGGTTCCGGGGTTCCAGGGTTCCAGGGTTCCAAAGTTCCAGGGTTCAGGGTTCCAGGGTTCCAGGGTTCCATTCCGGATTTTGAAGGCTGCAAGTCCCCGCGAGCCAGCCCCAGCCCTAGAGATTGAAACCCAACAGGCCCTGCTGTTGGGAATTATATATTATTTATATAGAATATATATATATTATAATATTACTTTAAATAAACATATTCCATAACATTATATTAATATGAGTTCATATAATATTTAGCCTATGTTTGGTTGTTTTTCAACAAAATTATTTAATACAGTATATTATATAACAATTTAATATAAAATATAATTTCATGTAATCTAATATGTTACATACTAAATACTATTTAATTTGTACTATATACTATATACTACATACTATTTACTACATACTATAAACTATAAACTATATACTATAAACTTTATTTTATATGTATATGCTATAAACTATCTTATATATACAGTGTGAGGCCCCAAAGATAGCAAAGTTGGTGCTTATAACTCCAATATCTATGGTTTATGGTACGCAAATAACTATAGTTACTGGGGCGAATCTAAACCAATTTAGCTATCTTGGGGGCCTCACATTGTAACATATATACATGTATTTTTATTATCTTTTTGTGTTTTCCGTATCGTCCCATTGGATCAGATGGCGTTGATTTTGGATGCCATGTTGGTCCTGAAGCTCTACCGCGGGAACAATCCTTGGCGCCTGGGAGTCAGATGGATCAATTTTTTGCCGCGATTCATAGGAAAATGTGGGAAAAACATAGGAACATGTCGAACAAAATACCCTCTGGTAATTTAACATAGCTATTGAAAATCACCATTTTTTATGGGAAAATCCACTATTAATGGTCATTTTCAATAGCTACGTTAAATTACCAGAGGGTAAGGGACAATCCGTTCTAAATGGATGTTTATAGCTGGGAAGATCATCTATAGATGGTGGATTTTCCAGCCATGGCCGGGCCATGGCCGGAGGGTATAGAAGCCACTGGCAATCACACACGGTGAATTTCACCCTCTGGTAATTTGTTACTTTGAGCTATTGAAAATGGATAGAAATAGTGGTTTTTCCCAGCAATCAGCAAATGGTGGATCTTTCCACTTCGTTTTTTCTAAACGTTTACCAGAGGGTAACTCACAAAGTCCATTACGAAGTGGATGATTCATGGATGAGATATGCGTGGTCCATTTCCCGATAATGATAGATACAAGACAGCGGGTTCTGATCATGGGATTTCATCGGGAACACGATAAAAAATGTTATCGGAATGTTTTGTCCAAAGATAATATACGTATTTATTCATGTATACAGTGTATATATATATTTTATATACATATATATATATATATATACACGTAGACACACAAAATGAATCAAACTATGTCATGTGTTTTGTCCACATTATGCGAATACCCCCCCTTCATGGCAAGCTGATGAAAGGGAACATGAGGATCCATCATGGAAATTTGCCCTATTTTTCAGAGCCAATAAAAAGGTAAAAGTGGAGGAACCATGATTTTTCGCACCTGACATGGTTGAAAATAAACAATCAGTTTTCAGGTTCGAGCTTGAACCTGCATCCAACATGGATCCAGGTGAACCGTAAATACATAGGGATATCATCTCACACAACTCAGCCCATAAAATATGAAGATACAAACTTCGAACATTTGCTGGAAACGACCTGGAAAAAAAAGTGAACTTTTTGGAACTTTGATGAACTATGAATTATTCCAACTACTCCCAGTTTGAGGAATGATCCCAATGACATTTACCCAAGTATCAGTTACCTGGTACTACAATAGCCATTATCTGGGTCGTTCTTGGATGTACACTAACCATATTAACCATGTTAAGATGTTTGATGAAATCTTCATCATTATCAATCAGACCATGTTTGTTTTCCAATGAATCATTCCAACTACCCACCAGTATCATTCCAACTCACCAATACCATAGTTCATCATTATTGCACTGAACTGTCATTTTTGTGGCAATATCTACCTATCTATCTTTCTATCTATCTATCTATTTATCTATCTATCTATGTATCTATCTATCTATCTATCTATCTATCTATCTATCTATATATATACATGTATGTATATCAATTTATATCTATCTATCTATATATATATATACATATTTTACATATGTACTAAATAGTAATTGTATGCAAGTGTTACTACTCTAGCAATGACACTTTACATTTGGCACCATGACAGATCTCGTTCATCCCCTCCGTTCATCCGGCAGTTCCGACAGTTCCGAGGTTCGCCTGGGGTCAGCGATTTCAAGACTTAACGGAGATCTTCAT